CCCCCCGCTTCCCACCTCTCTCCCCTTCTCTTCTTCCCTCCCTCTTTCCCTTTCTGGTTTCCTAATGGTGGTTTTAGCGATTAAAAGCTTTTTCCATTTCCATAAGCACACAAACATAAAATAGGCCAAAACATAAATTTTGTATAAGCCCCTATAACTCCATTTAAAAGAATTTGGTGTAAAGTACAAACGTAAATGTTGAAACTTACCTTTTAAATTCGCTTGCAAAAAGGCTTGCAGGTGTGTGATTTGTGGTGTAATTTGTTAGCCTGAAAATCAAATTTGTACTATTGATTCTAAATGTACACTATGAAAATCAATTTCATCTAATCTACCAAATAGTTCCATTGAAAAAGCAAGAGGAAAAAAAAAAAAAAAAAGGAATAAATCTTAGATAAGGGAAAGTAGAACGTTAATATATTTAGAGTTCTTTGCCCCAGTTACTTCTGTATAATTTGAATTTTATATCTTTCATAAAGAATTGTAAGGCTCAAATTTGTATAGTGCTTTTAAGTAATAATCACTTATTGACAGCTTGTTATGTGTCAGGCATTTTATATTTCTATTTAATTTTTATTCTATTCAGTCTTCAAAATAACCCATCTCAGGCATGGTAGACTGGTTATTCCCATTTTTTACATGAGAAAAGAGAAACAGAGGGTTGCCCAAGGTAATATGGGATGTTATGGCAGAGTGGTCTCCGAAACCTTTGTACTACACTGCCTTCCATACTCTTTGCTACTAACACATCATCTCGTTTGTTCCTAATGACAACTCTTTGAGGTGTACTATGGCTTCGATGATTTGCTCAAGATTTTACAGCTGATCACTGGCAGAGCTGAGAGTAGAACACGTGGCTCCTAGGTTTCAGCTGAGTTCTCTTCTAAAAAGAAGCTCCGTGAGATCCAGTGAACTTTCATCTACCGCCAGTTATGTTGACGCTAATTGGGTAGGATGAAACCAGAATATAACCCTAAATTATAGGAAACTGAGAAAGGAAATTACTAGGCCAAAAAAAAGTCTGAGCTACTTAGAAGGAAAATGGATATGTGACATAAATGGGGAGTGGGGTGGGAGGACCCAGGGAATTAGATTAGTAAAGGGTATCCCTTTGTTTTTTTCTTTTGGGCTACCCCTATTCTTAATCTAAGTGTTAGTTCCCTAGGATTCTGATTGGAGGTTTTAATTAAAGTTGGCTTTGGTCTAAACCAAAGGGTTTAACGAACTACTTTCTCTTCACATTTCTTGCCATCCCTTATATATGCTGGGAACTGTATTGAAAATGGCGACTAATTGATTTAAGACAATTTTTATCAACCATGAGCTTTTTGGAAATGGATAAGTCTGTTAGTAGTAATAATTTGTAATTTTGGGGAGAAGTGATTATAATAATGTGAAAATAAAATAATTGTCTAAGAATTCTATTTTAAATAATCAAAAACTTGAAAAATAAGTGGAAAATCATATTTAAATCTTCTGGTAGCATTGCTGGAACTGCTACTGCTATCATCATTTCCCTTCTCTTCCACCTCATCCTTCTCTCTTTCTTACATTGTTTTTTCTCTAAGAAATTTAGTGGTATAAAATATGGTACTCTGCAACATAGTAATGTTACTGATTATTAGGTTTCTGAAAATTTTCCTTAGGTTTTCACTTTTGCTTTTACTATATATAGTAATAAAACTGAAATACATTCTGAGTCCTGCTAAGTTATATTTAAATAACTGAACAAGGGAAGTACTAAGTTGTTCTTCTGATTACTGTTCTTTGAATTAGAGGAGAAGGCACTGTGGGCTAAATGATAGGATAGAAATATGGAAACTAGACTTTAATTCTGGTTGTGCTATTATAATGTGTAAGTAATCAAGAGTCCTAGCTTTCAGTTTGCTGCCACTAATTTGTTATTTTTGGTGACTTAATTTCTGTTTGCTTTGGAACACACTTGGATTAGGTGATGTAGTTTTATCAGTTGCAGACATAAAACAAGTCCAATCAACTCTTGTTTCACTCTTCTCGCTTTCCAGGAGAGTAGTCATTCAATTGGAAAAGATTTTTAAAAGATTAAGATTAAGGGTCTTAAAACTTATGGTAGATAGGAAGACAGTAAGAGAATAATAATTATGTAAATCAAGGCTAGTCCAGTCTACAGGTCAAGATGTTTATTTCAGAATATTGAAATTAAAAAAACAACCTAAGTTTTATCACAATTTTAATTAAGATACTTCATTTTTATCTTTAAGAACTCATGGAGAATAGGAAAAGAACCAGACAAGAGACAGACAAATGTTATCCCAACTGTCAAAGAGGGGGAATTCTACTAATGCTTGCTACTTACCATGTGTCCCATCCACCAGCAACACTGGCATCACCTGGGAGCTTGTCAGAAACACAGAATCTTCACCCTAACTACACAGCTAGTGAATTAGAATCTTCATTTTAACAGCCGCCCCAGATGATTCATTGTACATTAAAGATTGAGAATACTGCTATAAATTATTGTGTTCAAGCTTTAATCACTGCTGCAAATTACTCCCTTTAAATTTGGTAGAATTCTGGAATAGATTGTCAACACTTTTTAAAAATATGTACTTTAAAGTCTTGAATATAAGTAAGAGAAACCAGCTTAAGTTTTACACTGCTGGAGAATATCACTTACACTTTAAGAAATGTGTCTATTATGTGCCAGAAATGGTTCTAGATATAGTGTATTTTGATGTAAGTAGAGCATTTGAGATTACTTCATATGATACCCTTGTAAAATAAGGGAGCAAATATGGCTAGATGATAGTAATGCACATTAGCAGAGGAACAAACTACCATATTGAAGAATATTTATTTCCAGATTTCTTATCCCAGGTTGCCCCTCCAACTAGAGACTCTCATTTTAGTTATAATAATTTTTATCATCCTTTTAAAAAAAATTTGAATTACTTGTAGAGAACTGTAAGCATCATGAAATCAGAGACAGTCTGTCTTGTTAAAAACTACCCTCAATGCCTAATATAGTGAATGTTCCTTAATAGGTGCTTACTAAATACTTTTGAATAATTAAAATGAATGAATTCTTAAAATGCATGCCAGCCTGGATCTCTAGTGGTATCCTTGCAGGATGCTATTCTTTGACTTGAGCCTAATGGTTGTATAAATGACCTGAATAAAGACATAGAAGAACTACTGTTATATTTATGAATGACAGAAAAGCTGGGTCAGTTAAAATGATGACTGGCTTATGAAATGTTTCTCATGGAACAAGAATAAAAAGGGAAATTAAGATAAAGTTTAACAAGGCTAAATGTAAAAAAAAAATGTGAATTTTGTTTTTAAAAATCAGGTGCATTAAGGAAGGATGGGGTCCTTGTTGATAATAAGTTGCCAATAATAAAAGGCTAGTGTGACTTGAGGTTGTTTTAGAAGTAGAGGTTTTATCTAGAATGGGGTGAATTATAACTCTTCATTCTGACTGGTCCGAATGTTCGGCATTTTGTCCAGTTATGGAAGAAACTTTGAAGAAACTTGGCAAGTTAGAATGGTAATAAGCTGATGGATTTCATGAGGTGTATAGTTGCCCATGGATATGGTAGGAGACTTTAAGTGTAGCCAGTCATCTAAAGAACAGAATGGAGTGAGCTGGTATACTAAAAATGATGGCTTGCTGACCTAGAGGCATTTCTTAAACTTTTTGTGTATCAGTACTTACATCCTTGTGCTTTTGGGATAATCCCTTAAATAATTGGTAGTTTGGGGGAAGAAATTTGATAGCCAAGGCAATAATTTTTAAGTTTTACCCTGAAATACTGAGTATCTAAGTTGGATAATGGCTATGCTGATATTTTTTTTGCAAGCAGTCACATGAGGAATGGTGTAGACGTAAATGATATTACTGAGGGAGAAATGTGGGTCAAAGGAGGAACTTAGAAGTATTCAGTTATGGCTGCTCAACTAAGGCTGACATATGTATACACTTAACATATGTATATGCTATTATTACAGTTCAGGTTCACAGACTATTTTCTATGTACATGATATCTTTTTCAATTTGGGCCTGTAGTGAAGAATAGTTACATTAAAGCAAGCAATTGATTAAGCTAGATGAGGTATGATAGTAAGTAAACTAGGCAAACACGAACAGTGGATGTGATGGGTGAATATACACACTAATACAGATTTTAAAATCTGGCTATTTCTTATACTATTTATAACCTCTGTCAAAATTTAATTTGGCTACTAGATAATCAAAAATATGGGTATGAAATAACTATAAAATACTAGAACATATGCTATTTATTACTGCCGCATAACTCAGTGGTAACCCAGAATCAAGGATGTCATATGGTGAATATTAAATTTTGGTAATTTAATATATAACAGTACTCTGAAAATTATGTCCCATGTCATATGTCTACATATATTATTTGAAGCATTTTTAGGAAACAGAATTTGATTTGGAAATAAACTATTCTGGTATGATATTGAAATCACATACAAGTCTGATTAGAAAATATAAATTTATTTTATAAATACAATTTTATTTATGTATATCGAAATTCAAGTATGACATTTTAAAAAGAACATTAGTTCTGAAGTCACCATTAACATTAAAGATATAGTTATTTAAGGAATTGCCAATTATTGTTATTGCTCATAGAATAATTTTTATGTCTATCATTAAAAGGCTCTCATATATAGTTGAATAACTTTATACGTCTTTTAGCATATCTCCTGAAATTGCATATCTACTGAGAGTAGCATAAAGCGTGGAGAAAATATGGTAAAGAAAAGAAAATGAATCTTTAATAATTGTGTCAATAAAAGTTGCTTTAAAAAGTAACTTGCTTTTTTCTCTCTTGTATAATTGTAGCAAACAGGTGGGAGTATTAAGATGTAGATAGAGGTTCTAGCTGTACATGACGTGTATCCAACAATTGGAACAAACTGTCTGATAAAGGAGTTTTTCCCTCCTTATTATAAATATTTCTGTTAAAAGTCTTAAATGTAATACCAATTAAAAGTAGTTAAACATTTAATATATAATAAAGTTTATTGAAAATAATGCTACAAGTTTGTTTCTGTCTCAGAAAATCCTGGATGCATATAGTGAACTTATGTAATTTGACACCATGCATTTTTTCCTCACCTGCATTTAGATTTGATCTTTCTAGTATCAAAGTGATGACAGCCTTGAATCGCAGTCAATTTGTCACCATACTTTTTGCTTCAGGTCACAGCTTGTTTACTATTATTATTATTATTATGTATTTTAATAGCCTGGTGTATTAGTCAGTTTTCTTTTACTTAGAATACCTGAAAGTAGGTAATTTATAAAAAATGAAATTTATTTCTTACAGTTTTGGAGGCTGGGAAGTCCGCGGTCCAGGAGGGTACATCTGGTGAGGGGCTTCTCTTTGGTGGTGACTCTCCATGGCAATGTATGGTGTCACATGGTGAGAATGGACTGAGCAAGAGAACCAACCTTCTTACTTGCTCTTCTTTTGAAGCCATCAGAACCATGCGGGTTACCATGAATGGATCAATCCATTCAGAAGGACACAGTCCTTGCAATCTAATCACATCTTAGAAGCCCCACCTTTCAAATAAAAAAATTGGACTTCCCACCCTCTTAACACTGTTACCATGGGGGTCAAGTTTCTAATACATGAACTTTCAGGAGACACATTTAACCCATAGCACCTGGTGTTTGATTAGTTGAAAGGTACAATATTCAGCTATGTTATACATATTATCTTATTTATTGATGCCATCACTATGCAATCTCACTAAACAGCAAAAGGATAGAGTTAGAAATGAAGTCTAGTCTGTTTTCTTTGAGCTAATAAGGAAGACCTGAAACTTATTCAAATAGAGGTAGGGGGAGTCTTTCTTGAAAACAATGCATACTAATGTTTCCTTTATCTGTCTTCACTAGGGATTGTAGGAAACCAGAGCAGTGAATTTAGTCAAATAATGGAAGCTTATGCCTTTAAGCTCCTAAATTTCTTTTTAGTTTTTGCTCTTCGAGAAACCAAATGTAATTTTTTTTTTTAAGATGGCTCAGAACCATTGTTATTCTGCTCAGCAATACAGACACTTGAGCATGTGCAGAGCCATTTGTCCTCATTAAATGGCTGCAGGATACTTTTCTTTCTGTTTTTTTTCCTTCTTTGCTTTTTACTTTTTTTTATGTTATCACATCTTTTACTTGATGTCTACCTGCCTGTTTCTAATTTGCTGTCTAAACTTGTGTGTTTCAGAAGACCTACCTTGTCCCCTGCACAGTTCTAGGAAGTCAGGTCTTGTGCCAACTTATATATTCTTCCAGCTTAGTCCCCAAGCTTGGTTCCAAGTATTGCAACCTCACTTCCCAGTGCTGGGATCTCTTTTTGTCGTCTGCTTCTTAAAACTTCCCCAATCCCCTGCTCTGCCCCTGTATGCGTTATACTGCTTTCCCACTCCTGATGGAGGTAGATACCAAGAAAAGATTCTATTTTTTTTTTTTTCCTTTTTTTTGTCTTTTTTCGTGTCCGGCAACGGGATCGCAACCCTCCGTGTCGCACCCGCACCTCGCTCAGCCAGTGAGCGGGAACCGGTCTGTATGTGGGATCCGAACCCTTGGCGGGAGCGCCATGGCGCTCCCACGCAGTGCACTGTAGCAGTGTGCCACCGGGCCGGCCCCAAAGATTCTATTTTTTGGTGTAATAACAAAGATGTTCTATGGAAGGATTGGAAAATAAAATAGAATGGGATAAAGAGACGATCTCCCATAGAATTCAAAGGAAATTCCCAGTTGTCTTTTGAAAAACTGTTTCTAGAGGCAGCGGGCAGCGTTGTGCTCAGGTGTGCTGAGAGGATGGCAATACACAGTGCCCGTGTGATGCCAGGCAGGGCATCCTTGAAGCATGCAAGGAGAGAAAGTGAGACGAGAAGAGAAACTGGGTTCAGTGGATCTTTTATGCTCTAACAAAGTGCTTCAGGAAATTGATAGTAATGGCACTCTGAGTAGAAGAATGTTATTTCCATGGGCTTAAACATTTGTCCTCCTTTGAAGAATTCAGGCTTGACCAGATGGAACTTCCCCAGAAAGCAATTTGACTTTTTTTTTCCTGCTCTCAATCACTTTTCCAGGAAGGAAGTGGTAAGCTCTTCTGGAGAAAAGCTCCAGGGCCTGGCACCAGAAAGCAGCCAGAGCCAGTAGCCATAAATTTGACTATTTGAGAAGCATTTGAAAATGTTGTACCATTTATGGTTATTAAAATCTGAGGTTTTTGGACTCCTAACGCAGTCTTAAGCTTTTTGGTTTCAGGATCCCTTTGTCTTAAAAATTATTAAGGACACTCAAAAGCTTTTGTTTATGGGGGTTATATCTATTAGTATTTACCATTTAGAAATTACAGCTGAGAAAACTTTAAAACACTAGAGTACATAAGCCCACATCCCATTAACTGTCAGAGTGATAGAATCACCGTGTTTTGTGTAGCTTCTGGAAAACTCTGCAGTACACTCGAGAGAGAATGAGTGAAAAAGCAATTAACATCCTAGTATTTGCTATAAAAATGGCTTTCATTTTGTTTAAGCCCCTGAAAGTGTCTTGGAGAAGCCCAGGGATTCTGATTTTGAGAACTGTTGCCCTTTGGGGGTCTATAAATAGCATTTATGAGATTTGAGATCTCATAAATGGATGGGGAAAAATTGTATCTTCATTTTCACTAATTTTAAGCAGAAATCTATCATTTCCTTTCATTACCAAAGTAGGCATAATCCATAGCAATATCAGGAGTGACTGTGACTTTGTTACCAATAGAAATCACAGATATGTTCATAGCATATTGTTATTGCAGATATCTTAATACTTTGAAGTGTTGGTAGTTATTAGATCTCCTGCTAGATCTTGTTAATGTGTTAATAAAGAGGCATGCATATTAGTATTTTATAACTTAAAATTATTTTGATAACTATATTTTAATATAATCAATTTTCAAAGAGGTCAGTAACACATGAAAGGTCAAGAACTCCTTAGCATTTCAAGGCTTCCAGTCTACTGTCTTTATGGAAATGTCTACTACACGTTGGTTTGGGTCCAGGTGATAGCTAACTGATCTCTGGTGTTTAGAGGCTGGCTGCCCCATAGGTGTCTTACCCGTCTCCTCCACACGGGGTCGGCAATGAAGTGTGTTCTAGTTGAGTAAATTCTCTGGTGAGGAGCAGTAGGTAGCTGATGCTTTATTCTTGGTTATCCTAATACAGTCTTCAGAATTGGACTCTCCAGCAGGGAATTAGACATTTGCCTGCTGGTTTGAGGAGTAATCTATCGTCCTTCTTATTAAAGATCAGAAATAGCCTGCTGGCTTACAAAGCTTGTTCTGCTTGGTCTGGCAGTACGAGATCTTGCCTGAAATGCTCTGTTGATGGCAACCAACTCTGAATTGCCAACATTTATGAATGAGTGTGGGATGCTCAAAAGGATTCTAAATTAAATAACCCAACCTAAGAAATAAATGAACAAAGAAAGTTGAGGCTGTTCTTTTCACTAGTTGGAATGAACTAGGTGGCATTTTCAGGGGCAGTTTGAGAGCCAGAGGTGAGAAGTGATTCTGAAGAGCCATGGCTCTGACCTTTGGGCCACATCCTTCACTTTTATTCTTTTTGGATAGTCTCTGAGATGTAAACCTTTGAAGAGGTTATTATGGTGTAGTAAAACAGAGCATTACATTAGGAATCAGATGACTTTAGTTCTTGTTCTGCCTCTAATTAGCTGTGGGATCTTGGGAGAACTTCTCAGCCTTTGTATCTTAGTGTTCTTATTACATACTACTGCAGAGATTCTCTAGCTCAAGTTGATTATAATTATCGATTATAATTTATTGAACACCTACTATGTGTCAAATATTATATTAGGCACTGGTGGTTTAACAGAGGATAGTACATGTCCCTACCCTCAAGGAGTCTACAGTCTAGATTTTAACCACCAAATGAGGATTTATGTAGAATCCACTTTTCAGAGATAAATTGTTAGAGATTCCTGGAGAAAGTGCAACTGTGGTATTTGAGCAAAGGCCTTTCCTATTCTATACAGATTGTTATTTCACATTCACATAGTATCAGTAGGTTCACTCTTGGTGTTAGTTGGCACCTAGAAAAGAGTGGTTTCTGATTGTCTTTACATAATGAGTCTTCATTCACTTAACCAACCTTTGTTGAGGGCCTACAATGTGTAAGGAACTATGCTAGACCCGTATCATAGGTTCCTTGCCCTGAACATGTTCATGGGGCAAAAAGATAGACAAACAATTGATTCTAGGGTGATAAGGGCTATAACAGGGTATTGACAGTATGTTACAGACGTGTAGAGGAAGGCATGCCTTAGCCAGCCAGATGTTGGCAGGAGGAGGAGGTCAGGGAATGCTCTCTGGAGGAAGTGGCATAAATAATTAGACCTTGAAGGTTGAGTTGCAGCTTGCAAGGTGGAGATCTGGTCTGGTGCATCAGGCCATTTCAGATTTTGAATGTCTGGGTTGAGGAGACATCATCTTTTAAGTGTACTGATATGATATTGAAAATAATGAGGGGATTAGGGTTTTTGTTTTTGCATGTAACATCTCATTTGTTACTTTTTCTTCAATGTTTGTGTACGTGTTTGTGTGTCTATTTTAGAAAGAACACCCAGGTTAATGCCTGATAAAGAAAGCATGTATTACCCGCGGGTACAACATTATAGAGAGCTGCTTGACTCCTTGCCAATGGATGCCTATACACACGGCTGCATTTTACATCCTGAGCTAACTGTGGACTCCATGATCCCAGCTTATGCAACCACAAGGATTCGCAGTATGTAGAAATCTTAGAGGCCTGGAATTCTGTCTGAAGTTTCTTTTAATTCATTTTTGAGACCTTGCCCACCTCATGGTCATTGAAAGAAGCTTCACTGGGAATAGGGTTGTTGACTTTGCTTTATGGATGTGTGTATTATGGATAGATCCATGAACTGGTCAGATTAATCTGTGCTTCAGCTGTTCAGCTGGACATTTATTGTCTATAGGACCTGATTTGTCAGCTCTTGGCTTTGAGGGCCAAGCTTGGATAAAAATAGGAAGAGTGACATATGGAAAAGTAAAGAACATAACATGTTCTCATGAACAGATGAACCAGGGACCAGAAGAGCTTGGATCTGCCTGGATTATGGGCAACAGAGTCCACATTCCTAGTCCTTCATTGTCATTTCATTATGTGAGGGAGCTTGACAAGAGGGTGTCTAGGCATACCTACCTCTACCTTCCATTCAGTGATTGGGACTGATTGAGATTGATTGAGATTATCCAGCTTTCTCCCTTCTTTGTGTCATGAGGATAGAGTAGGGTCAGTGCATGTGATGAGGAGCAGAAGGAGTGTGCTCTGCAGCACAGGGGATTGGGGACAGGAAGGTGAGGGAAAGTGGCAGGGGTCAGACTCCGGGAGCACTCACGCCTAGGTCTTCTAGACCCAGAAACCAGATTTCCCCCATTATATCATACCTCACCATTGTCATTCTCCTACTCATGTGATTTTTATTTTTTCGACACCCCTCCTGTTCCTTCTCCCCCTCCCTCCCTCCCCTCCTTTCCTTTTTTCTCTTCTCCCCAACCCCATCATCCTGCTTCTCTCCTTCCTCTTCTTCCTCCTCGTTCTCTTCCTAAGTCCTCATTATATGATTTGAAGCAAGTATTCTAACTATAATTCTACCACCTATAGTTAATCTTTTATAAAAATAAGGCATTTCCTTCTTAGGGAAGATTATAATAGAAAACTGGAAAGGTTAGAATAGTTTCCCTGCACTGAGCACTCTGATGTTCTGGGCCTTGCTCTGAGTGCTTTCCATGGAACTTCTCAATTAGTCCTAACCCTGGGTGGCAGATACTCTTATAGTTCCATTTTTAAAGTGGGGAAACTGAGGCACAGGCAGGGAAAGTCCGATGAGCCCCAGAGCTCATGCTCTTACCATTGAGTTTCCCTGCTTTTTTTTTCTGGTATAGAAGTGAGAAAATAATTTTCCGTTTCAAAAATGTTTTTATTATCAGGCCAAATAGGTAACACGGAGTCTGAACTGAAGAAACTTGCTGAAGAAAACCCAGATTTACAAGAGGCATACATCGCAAAACAGAAGCGACTGAAAGTGAGTGAACCAGACTGTCCTCAGTGGACACCCACTGCTTGTATTAAATGTTCTTCTTATAAAGTACCACTATTTCTAAAACACCTTCTATTAAATATCACAGTTCATCAGTATACACATTACCTTTGGCTTCTGTTCTGTTTTAGAAAGAATGTTCTTTATTAGATTTGATATTCAAACCTAATGACAATTGCTTAAAAAGCAGATACTGAGCATACTGGTTGCCAAGGCAAGTTCATAAAATATTCTAGGAATCTGTCATTTCGAGCATTCCACCACTTTAAGGCCTAGCTAGACCCGTGTCCCTCCATGGGTTGCACTGACATGCTCTGCCCCCTAAGGAGCTCAGTTATTGTCAGCCTTTTTCTTTCTGTTGATTGTTTCCCTGTGGCCCAGCAACACATGTAAGCTTCTCCCATTTTAAAACAAGGCAAACAGCAACCTCAACCCTCCCTCAGCTTCCCATCTTCCTTCATCCTATCTTAGCCAAATGAGCTGCTAACAAATTACGTGACACACAGCACAGTCACCTTCCTTACTCTCCACTCAGTCTTTAACTTGCTGCTTTCCTTGCCCCGGACTCTTCAGTTAGTCAAGGCTGCTGAAATTCACCTCTTGACTTGGGCACGAGAGGTGCCTCTTCCTGTTCCCACATTCTTTGCCCTCCCTGGTCACTGGGCCTCACAGGAGTGGCCAGTGAGTGGTGGGACTTCTGGGGCATTTCATGGTGAGGGTTTTTACCCTCAACTGTACTCTGAGGCTTTAACAAAGTTGTTCTAGTTCTTCCCATTGCCTAAAATAAACGGGCTCCCACTCAATAAGAGTTTATATCTACTCTGCTCTACATAGATTTTTTTTTTACAGTCATAAATAATTTATGTATTTTTTTGGGGGGGGTTGTTAGTCAAAGCTGCTTGATCATGACAATGTCAAATATTTGAAGAAAATTCTTGATGAGTTGGAGAAGGTCTTGGATCAGGTTGAAACTGAGTTGCAAAGAAGAAATGAAGAAACTCCAGGTAAGTTCTCATTTGTATGCTTTTCTGTTTCAACACCAGGAGTATTTATGGGAACATTGTTAGATCTCATGAAAAAATTCTGTAATCTGTTTATTATTATTATTATTATTTATGGGCAGTTTCAATGATGATACCAACAATGATACTGAACGCAGAAAAACCCAGGTGACTAATTGTAACTCCGTCTTCATCTGTGTGAAATATGACTGGGGACAGACTTTTCTGCACAATTCAATTTATGGTTGGAGATTCCTACTTAACCTGTTTTACTAATTTGTAATTATAGTACAAATTAGTTAATTTCAAGTTAGTTGGGTTGAATAGCCTGAGTAGTTGCTTGGAGGTTCTTTCTAGTTTTTTCCTTAGCCAGGGAGACAACTTCCAATCTAAAGTGAAATGCAAACTGGGACCAGTGTGGGTGTGTTTGTAGGCTGGCTGGTGAGTGTCCATGTATTGTACCTGTGGACTGACTGCAGAATTAAGCCATTGTCCAGGTGAATACTTGTGGGCCTTTTGCTGTATTCTGACAAAGGAGTTCAATATCATGTTACCTGAAACTTGCTTCACAATAGGGACTCTCATTTGCTTTAAATAAGTAACTAAGAGCAGCAGCCACTGAATGACATTTCAGTCCCAACTTCATGGATTTTTGTAAAGCACACCTGTTGTTTTCTTAACCAGAAGGATGTATGTGTCCTTTCCTCTGGCTTAGAGGCTCTCAACTCCTTTGAGTCCTTTACAAAATGATAGACAGGCTTTGAGTTCAAGTGGCTCCAATTTTGCCTAGGGACCTGGGTAGCTGACAGATGTCAAGCAAGTCCCCTTTAGCTTCGGATACATTTGCATGGACTTTCTTTTTTTTTTTAGCATGAAATTATTTGCTGAGAGTGATTGTCAAGAGAATGTAGCTGGGCCTTCATCTTTGCTGTGCTCACACTTGCCCTTAAGGCTGCGGGTACCAGTTGGTGTCATCTGTGCAGTGCTTGCTCTTAATTCTCCATGTCCTTATTTCTGATTAGAAGAAGGCCATCAGCCCTGGCTCTGCGGAGAGTCCTTCACCCTGGCAGACGTCTCGCTTGCTGTCACATTGCATCGACTGAAGTTCCTGGGCTTTGCGAGGAGAAACTGGGGAAATGGAAAGCGACCGAACTTGGAAACCTATTACGAGCGTGTCTTGAAGAGAAAAACATTTAACAAGGTTTTAGGACATGTCAACAATATATTAATCTCTGCAGTGCTGCCAACAGCATTCCGGGTGGCCAAGAAAAGGGCCCCAAAAGTTCTTGGCACCACCCTTGTGGTTGGTTTGCTTGCAGGAATGGGATATTTTGCTTTTATGCTTTTCAGAAAGAGACTTGGCAGCATGATGTTCGCACTTAGACCCAGACCAAATTATTTCTAGGCTTGTTGCTATCTGGTGGTGGCAACTCATCCAACCATTCAACTAGACCCTTGTTCACTCTTCCAGACCAAGTGAAGAATTATCCTGGGCAACTAGTAGAAAGCAGAATTTACTTTACTCTTTGAGCATTTTATGCAGGGAGAGGTTATTATGAATTTTTTTTTTTTGTGGGCTGGTAACAGATTACTTATTTGCAAACCTGAACTAATCCATCCTTAAAACATGTGCAAGGTCAAGATATATATATATATATATATATATATATAGATATAGATAGATAGATAGACACAGAGACTAGACCTTTAACTCAAAATGCTCAGTTCAAGTTCTGAATTATTCTGTGGGAGAAGGTTATTATGAAAAAACAGTAGTAATTGCCTGTGATTTCCCATAGCTCTTCATCTGAGACCATCTGGATGTGCTGAGTGTTGAGTAGTAGCAGTATTTTCCCCTGGAACTCGGAAGTCATCTTTATTACACAGCACAGAGGTTCAGATAGCAACAGGGAACAGCATTGTATCATCCTACCGCTGCTAGCTTCAGGCAGAAATAAAGGAAGCAAAGGGAAAAGGAAGAAGGAAAAATGGGAGAATGATGTCTGTATAGGGTGGAGGAGTAGCGTGTAACCTCCAGGTGCCTCCAGGATCACTCATGGCTGCCTGTCCCTTGGTAAATGTCACATTTAGCTACTTATGGCCACTGCCCACACATATACTCCTGTAACTGAGAACTCTTGGGGGGAGACGGATAGGGAGTGAGTTACTGAGGTTAGTGGGCTGGAGAGAACCCCGGGCTTTACATATTAGCACCTTGTTTGACCTCAGTGTTAATTTTAAATGCTTGTGAATCACACCCATTGATTTAATAAGATTAAGTGCTCATATGCTTGGGCATGAGATGCCTATGGAACACATCTGCCTAGCATTTATATGAAAGTTTTAAGTGATGTTACGGTGGATCCTTACCATTTCTCATGCTCCCCAATCCCATGGTGCCTGTGAGATGTCATTCCTGTGGACCATCGTGTCCAGTTACTGGGGGACTTGGCCTCTATGGCCCTCTTTGCACTTGAGTGGCATTTAGGTGAATGTCCCAGGTAATGACTAGCATGGCATGTAGCTGAGCAGTGGATATTTTGATGATCTGGGGATACCAAATGTGTTTATTCTTCATTTAGGAGGCTTGTGCATTAATACAAAAAGTGTTGTCCAGCACTTGAATGCATTTATGATCATCAATAAAGCCTTAAAAGTTGAGAAAGAGAAAGGTGTCTAGTCTTAGCCCTGGCAGTTAATTTAAGGAAGGTAAAATAAGTGGATAGTGATGCCCACCTGTATTTATTTACGTATGTCTAGGCATTTTGGTGGTACCTCAGTCCATCTGGAAGGGACAATGTCAGTGTGTTCCATAAACTGCAACATACTGCTTATGCTCAGGAAAAAATCTGTCATGGTTATGGGAGGGCAGTTTCTCTGGAGCTGGTCATAAAGGCATTGAGAGCAGTTTCAGTGTTGGTAGGTAGCACGTATGGAAACGAGGAGCTAAGATTCCAGTGAACAACAAAAGCTTGCTTGTAACATCTCAGATGGGTTGTGCAAAAGAGGCAGAGAATGTACTGTCTTTTTCATTGACAGGAAACAGTCATGCCTAGGAAACAATGACTTTCTTTTTTTTGTCCTTTTTGAGACCGGCCGCACTGCGCTCAGCCAGTGAGCGCTGTGAGCGCACCAGTCATCCCTATATAGGATCCAAACCCGCGGTGGGAGTGCTGCTGCGCTCCCAGCGCCGCACTCTCCCGAGTGCGCCATGGGCTCGGCCCAACAATGACTTTCTGATGATAAAACAATTCTGTAACCCCATTTCAATTCTATAATTCCATATCATGACACGGTCGTATTAGAAAATCTTGTTGAATTGGATATACCCTATTTACAAAAAGTTAACACCTCTAGAGTAAACTCAATCCAACAATTAATAATAGGCTGGCAGCTTTTATAATGTCTTAATTTTGCACACCAGTGCATCATCATATGGAGTATTTAAATCTGTTGCTGGGACATTCCAATCTATGTATGCATAGAAGAGCCATAAATTTATTATGTAGTTCATAGTGTTTCAGAAATTCTTTACGTCAGTCTGATAGAAAAAAGAACTGACACATGAAGAAATCAAAATTGGGTGTTTATAGAAATCTGTAAAGGATATTTATCTGTGAAAGGGTTGTTAATTAAGAATAAAGATTAGAAGCCTGGTGTTGGCTTTTCAGTTTGTATTATTACTGAATAAGAGAGAATACACTAGGAAGTGTTTATAATTTTCTTATACAATTTCATTGGAAAAACACTTGTTTCTATATTAAAGGTGATGTATAGTGGCAATTTCACTTGTTTCTTGGATACTCTTGAATTTATGCTTTTAAAGTGTTTGTTTAGGTATATAATGGCCACTAGATGTCGCTGTTCACCAGTAGTCTAAGAGTGAGTGTTCTTTAGTTTCAGCAAGCCTGAAATGTTTCAAGCAAAGTTAAACATTAATGATCTTCTGAATTGAGGACATCTTCATTGGATTATTCATCTGTAAAAAAGCTTGAAGTAAATTTAATATTGATTGCTAATGCTTTAGAAGGGATAACAGTACTACAGTATGTCAAGCTAGAATTGAACATAAACTATTAGCTAAGTAGGCACTTTTATGTGTTTTCTTTTTCATGATCATTGGTGATTGGCCAATGTGCTCCTCAATTTCCAAAATTTGTACAAATATCATAATTAGAAAAAATGCCTGAGGTACTAAAGTTGTGTTGGCTATTTATGCCTTAACACACATAAATACTATTTTATTGTTGTTGCAGTTATATGTCTTTTGAATCCATTTTTCTTAATCACAGATAGCTGTAAATTGCTTGCCCAAGTTTTAGTAATTATTGCTGTTGACACCAGAGTTGTAGACTTTTGGTGTTGCTGAATGTTATAGAGAGTTCAAGATACTACTCTGCCTGTAAGATCAATAAAAGTATTGGAAAATAAATACAAACCTTAAAACAGGTACTCATTTTGTAATCTTTTTGGGAAAACAGGTGCATTTATTTTTCATTTAAAATCAAAGCACCCTGTGGAATTAGAAGGGTAAAATAAGCATAAGATAGGTATTCAAGTTATTTAGTTATATGATGCCATATTTTTCTTATAACATAGAAATTACTGACTCATGATTCATTTAAATATACACAATTTTGATTAAAATGAGTGGCAGCCTAAAGAATAACATTGATCCTGGTCATTAAAGTAGCTCTTTTGTAGCCAGCCATGTAACAGGTGAGACCGTGAAAATGATAAACACTAAGAGAATATTTACCTTTGCAAAATAGTTTTGTTACATGCTTACTGGGTTTCAAATATTACTCTTCTTATGATATGTATATTGCTGACAGAGCTAATTCTCTTTTTTTTCCTTTTGAATACGAATTATGAATATCCAAATTACCATCTGCATTTCTAGCCTTGGTAAGCTTAGCTGTTCTTGTAATCATCAAATTAGAAGTTGAGTACTATTTTTGTTTTATACTGAAGAAAGCAAATTAAGTGGAAGTCTAATTGACCTTATCTTCCCCAAGTTTGTCAACAAAAGGCAGCAATACTGAGTAATCATGGAAAGTCAAGTGAATATATAGCTCTGTAGTCTGCTCAGAAAAGAAAAAAGCATCATAATAAAGACATAAAAGTCAAATTAATGCAAAAGTAAATCAGCATTTAGACATTATCTTCATATTGTTTATGCCAAATATTGGCCCATTTATTTTATTTCTACTTACTTGCATCAGAATGTCTTGATTTTCTAATACTCCAGACAGTGTTTTACTACGGTAGTAGATTCCAAATCAAGTGAGGATGTGTACTTTCTGTGTGAGGGTAATAATTTTGTTTTAGTTATGTGTCCCATGAAGTGGAGAGGGAAAGAGAGAACTCACATCATGGATTAGAAAGGCAGTGCACTGATGAAAGGAATATCTTTTATTGCTTACATCTCAGTTGACACCTGGATTTTTGTCTTGTGGGGGGGTAGTATTGAAGTGTATCTGAGAAGGCAGTGGGGTAAAGCAGGCTATGAGGTATAAGACAACCAGGCCATGTAGAGCTTGAGACAAACATACCTATGATGGGCCTTGATGTTCTGTTTGATTCAAGTAGGGTGGTATATCTCATCCACAGTTCCTTGTCATAAAACTCCTTTAGGAAAGTTAAGTTTCTTGTCTTCAGCTTTTACTTATTACCTATACATTGGTTCCTTGATTACAATGTGTTGTTATTAAACTCCCTTAGTAGGAGAAGCCAATAGTAGGGCAAAAATATAAAGATATTAGTGAAATATAATGAAAAGGGTCAGGTTTCCATGCCAACAGCAATATTCACATCCATATGTATAAGTTAATTAGTAATCAAGTAATTTTTCAGGCATATAGCCAGCATGTGTAAGTATACATTTTTGTATCATATTAAACTATGTTTTGGATTTAAGAATCTCATAGCATTATCAATACACATCAAAACAGAAATAATGACGTGTTTAGAGATTCCACATTTACTAAGTTCAGTGCTCAAAAAAAAAAAAAGGTTTACACTAAGAAAATTATATGAACTGAAAGTTATTAGCACTAAAAGCAGAAGGGGCTACATTGTAAAAATGGCCACAAATTCTTCTCATTGCTCCACTCATTCCCTTGGAATGTGATGTTACAAATCCTCCCATCAAGAAATAGCAAGACTACATGAGATTTACCAGAGAGCAACTTACTAGCGACATTATTACATATCAAGTAATGCTGAAAGTCATTGGAGGTCCATTCCAGGCAGAGTGGAAGGCTTCATTAAAACCTCGTTAATCCCCCAGGCAGGAATAAGGACCATGTTCTAGAGTAAGGCTTACCAGGATCTTTCAATCTTGTCACTATTGATATTGTGGGACAGATAAATTAATTCTTTGTTGTGTGGAGCTGTCCTGTGTGCTGCAGGATGTTTAGTGGCATCCCTGGCCTCTACACATTAAATGCTGGTAGTGCCCCTTACCCCAGTTGTGACAACCCAAAATGTCTTCAGATATTCCCAAATGTCACCTGGGGAGAAAGTCACCTCCAGTTGAAGACCAGTGCTCTATACCTGCCCTTACAAAGTCTGAAACCAATGTCTGACAAGATCTGGAGGGGAAAATATTTTGGAGGTTGATTTCTGCCAAGTTAGAAGTGTTGATTTCTGCTAAGTTTGGAAGGAGGCATCGTGTGTTTCCATGTATCCTTCATAACAAAGCATAAAACCAAACCTACACAATTTAAAGGTGAATAGCCGGTAACTGAACTGTTTACTAGGACGGGAACCAGCACTCTTCAGAGGAAAGATGACAGAATCCAGAGTCTCTCTAATGTATCACTAACAATGTCCAGTACAGAGGAAAAAAATTACTAAACAAGCAAAGACACAGCATAAGCAAAGATACATGACCATAGTCAATTAAAAAAAAAAAAAAAAGAAAAGAAAAAGAAAAAATGGAAGATGGGGGACAGAAGTGGTGGACTAAAGGGTACAACACTATGCTATCTACCCTAAGTGAATCGTGTGCAAGTATATGCATGTATTGACATGACACGCTGCCCCCCACAAATACGTACAAGTAAATATTAAAATTAAAAAGACAAGCAACTGGGGACAGGAGTGAGGGGGGAATGATAGTAAAATAGAAACAGACTGTGATATGACCCAAATGTTGGATTTAGCAAAGACTTTAAAGAAGCTTACAGATAATATATGGTTAATAGAATTAAAAGAAAATGTAGTGCGATTGAGTCAATAGATAGGGAAACTTAGCAAAGAAAATAAACACCAGTGAACCAAATGAAGGTGGGGGCGGTGGTTAGGGACAAATTGGTAAAGGGCCACAAAAAGTGATTATGTTGTGTAATAAATATAGTAAAACAAAACAAAACAAAACAAAACAGAGAAACCAAAAAAACAAATGAAAATTCTAGAATAGAAAAATACTGTACCTTAGGTGAAAAATTTACTGGATGGGCTTCACAGCAGATGAGAGGTGGCAAAGGAAAGATAAAGAAACAGAACCCCAGGAACATGTGGAAAATATCAGCTGGTCTAAAATATGTGTTATAGGAGTCCTAGAAAGAGAAGAAAGTAAGAATGGGACAGGAAAAAATACATACTTAAATAATGCCAAATTTCCCCAAATTTGTTGGAAAAATATTGACAATCCAAGAAAATCAGAGTTTGAACTCAGTGAAAGATAAATACCAAGAAAGCCTCACCTAGACACATCATAATCAGACTGCTGAAAACTAAAAAAATCTTGAAAGCAGTCAGAAAAAAAAGACACAACATTCAAATGAGCAACAGTGAAGAGTTTTTGCTGACGTATCAGAAACAGTGGAGGCCAGAAGACAAAGTCAATGTCTTTAAAATGCTGATGGGGGTGGAGAGGGTTGGTGGGGGAATGCTATCCACTCAAAATGCCATATCTAGAGAAAATATCTTTAAAATATTGGGTGAAACAAAGACATTTCATTTCAGATAAATGGAAACAGAGAACTTGGATCCAGCAAGCCTGCAAAGGAAACAAACAAACAAAAAATGCTAAAAGCTGTTTCCCAGACTGCTAGGGAATGATATCAAATGGAAACCCAGATCTACAGAAAGTGGGGGAAAAAGAGTACCAGGAATGACAAAAAAA